GGGCACGAGACTTTCGCCAGGCCTGATGCCCTCTGCGCCCAGGCCGGCCTCTGGGGTCACCTCACATGGCGTTTCCCACCCTTGTCTGAGCACAGCAGTGAGGGTGCCCCACACTCAGGTCCACGGGGGACGGAGCCGGAACCCCTCCTGCTCCCCTTACGGGGGCGGGCAGGCAGGCAGGCGCCAGGATGCGGGGGGCAGGGCCTTTTCCCAGGCACCTCTGGAGAACCCGAGCAGCCGGGAGGGGTGGGCAGGGAGAGGAGGCCAGTGAGGAGGACACAGGAGGGGGCCCGGGAGTCAGTGACCCAGGGGATTTTCTGCCGGGTCTCTGCAAAGCTGGCTGAGCAAACGCCAGAGCCAGGGGTCAGGGGTCAGAGAGATGTGGCCAGCGGCCCCTGCGGGCCCCCTCTCCCTTTTCTGGAAAAAGCTTGTTTTCCAGGTCAAAATCCAACTCCGGATCCGCCCCCTCGGGGTCGGATGTTCCGGAAGGCCTGGTGGTCCCTGCACCCGGTCCGCGCCCTGCTCCTCCCCTCTCCCCATCCCCAGGGCCTGCAATCCCCACAGAGTCACTGGTCCTGGGGCCCCTCTGTCCCCAGGAGCGGAGCCAGCCTTTGCCTGCGGGGGCAGCATGGTTTTCTGTGGCTCTGGGGCTGCAGATGAGCTTGGACCTGGCGGGGGGCAGCTGGAATCTCACGTCCCAGCGTTGCCTCCATGGCCCAGGGGCAATCTGGTTTATGTAAGGTCATCAAAACCCCGGCCCCCAGGCCTGTTCACTCTAGGGGGAAGGGGCACCTCCCTGAGACCCCCGAGAGGGGACTGGGCCTGTTTAGGCAAGATGGTGAAGCTGGTGCAGGCCAGCAGGGTGGGGCGTGGACGATGGAGCAGGCGCCCCAAGCCCCCCTGGGCCCCCACGAGCAGCTGCTGGGCTTAGCCAAGGGCCCACTCCCCCTGGTGTGAATATCCACCACAATTAATCACGGAGGGCTTAGCCCAGGGCTGGCCGAACCTGTCAGCCGGCTCCAAGCAGCAGGGCCAGCTGCTGTTCTGAGGGTTCCCGGGGGCCAGACCCACCAGGCAGCAGCCTCAGCTCCCCCCTCTTCCCAGAGGGGCGCCCCCTCTGAGGGCCCAAACTGGGGGCCTCTGGCCCTTGAGGAGAGGACTGGAGAAGAGACAGAGTTGGCGGAGGAGGCGGTCAGCGGGGTTCAGCCTTGCCTGCCAAGGACCCCACGCCCCGAACACCCAGGGCCTGTCTCAGGCCAGGGCAGCCTGCGGGAGCAGACCAGGCCCAGGGTCCAGCCTCAGCAGCCTGGGGTCGGAGGTGTCCGCTGAGATGCCAGCAGGAGGGGGCCGGCTGAGGGACGGGGACAGCTGCCCTCCTCGGCTCACCCGCTTGGACGGGCCGCCTTCTCCCGCTGGAGCCCCGGCCGCCCCATCCGTCATGGCCCACCCAGGACTGCGTCCACCCCCCTCCTCCTCCTAATCCCCCGGCCGGCATCTTCCCAGTGCTCCAAGCAGTTGGACACATTTTCCAAATTCTCGGGCCACTGCTGCTTCCTCCTCGAATTCCTCGCCGCCCCCAGCGCCCCCCTCCGCCATGGGAAAGGCCGCAGTGCCCGGGCACTTGCTCGTCTTGGCCCGGGGAGGAGGAGGAGCAGCTGGCCGGGCCCAGCAGCTGTGAGGTGCGGGGGTGCCAAGGAGAAGAGCCCAGATTATGGGGGCGTCATGGGAAAGCTGCGAGGAGACGCTCCCCAGACCCCTCCTGCCCACAGCCCCGTTCCGCTCCTTCTCAGGATTTCTGGCCTCCAAGTGGCCCCCGAGGGAGGTGGATGGGGCTCCAACAGGAACCACTGCGTCCGCCTGGCCACAGGCTCTGCCCCAAGCGTCCATCCGCCTGGGCAGAGCTACCTGGCTCAGGGCGCGGGAACCAACCCTGACACCCGCTCGTGGGACCCAGGATGGGCCAGCCATGCCCTGACATAGCCTGCAGGCGGGCTCCACAGATAGGGCCCTGGATGCATGGAGGGGGCCTCCCGCGGGGCCAGGTGTCCTCCTGGAAGGGCTAGCACGTGGGCTGGGCCACAGGCGTGCACAGGGCAGGCGCTGCTGGGGGCCGGGACCGGCTCCGCCAGGCCCAGCTCGAGGGCTCCGGGGCCTGAAGAACATATTTGCACAGGCGCAGCTGGCACTGAGGTGCCCAGCCCTGCAGCCCCGGGTGGGCTCCCTGCCGACGATGAGGGAGCAGGGGGGGCCTGACTGCAGACCCCAGGCCTCCTCTCACACGTTTTTTCAGGCCCGCCCTGGTCTCCGCCAGCCCAGAGTTGCACAACAACTCTGGATCCATCTGAAGTTGCAAGGCCAGCACTTTTCTGCTGGACGGCAGCCCGGGGTGGGCTGCAGCAACGCTCGGGTCTCGGGCCGCAGCCAGCGGCCCCTACATGGGCCTGGACCCTGGGCCTCCCCCGGGCTGGCCGGCCTCCCCTTGCTCAGCTCCCAGCTCCTCCACCTCGCAGCTCCAACTCAACACTCTTCAGCAGCCATTTTCTAATCCTTTCCGTAACAAAGATCATAATTCCATCTCCTGCCTAACTGACAACCCCGAGGCAGTGTGGCCTGGTGTCCACCTCGGCTGACTTCGACCTGCAGCTGGCCACCTGAAATCTGTGTCCTGTGACCCCCTGCCCTTCTCCGGGGGTGGGGGGGCTCCTGCTGCCTTTCTGAACTTCTCAGAGTGCCCCCCCCAAAACCCAGACTCTTTCCATGTCCACGCTGCAGGCCTGGTCACTGAGCCCAGCTACTTTCCTGGAGGACAAATCCTCCATTTCCTGGGAGACGTGAAGAGGGAGCCCCGAGTGTGTCCCCACATCCCACCCATCAGCTCCCGCTGCTGGCCTGGGTCTGTGCTGGGCCTGTCTGCACAGGCGGAGCGAGAGGAGACTGTCCCGGTGGGGTCAGGTGGAGCCAGTAGGTGCAGCGGCCCCAGGGCCAGGCCAGTGGGACAGCCCCTTGCTGCCCATGGGTGCTGCCCCCGGGGGGAGCGTGGCGCCTACAGACAGTCCGGAGCGCATCTGTGCCACAGCCCTGTGAGTGGCCTTTGCTTTACTGGGGCGAAAAGGGTGTAAGAGAGGCTGCAGCAGGCTCATCTGTCAGGGGTGGGGTGGTGGTGGGCACCCTCCGCGGCTGGGCAGCCGTCACCATCGCTCTGGGCTCGGCCTCTTCCCCAGCAGAAGTGCCTTGCCTCACCCGGCCTCCTGGAACCTCACCCCAGGAGGCAGACGGGCAGGAAGGCCAGTCGGTGTCACTTCCTCAGGGGCCACGTGAGACAGAAATGTCTACTACTCTCCCCAAGTCCTCAGGCTGGGTCAAGGCGGCAGGACCCAGGGGGATGGACCAGGGGGACGCAGAGCAGGGGCCCACGTCCCGAGGCTGGGGACCGGCCGCCCACCTGCCAGCTGGAGGGCTGGCCACACGGCCCTGCCAGCAAAGGGGGATCTCGCCTTGCAGCCTCTGGCTGTCGTTAGCTGCCCCAGGGCAGGATATGGGTCCTGCAGCCAGTGAGGATCCAGGCTCGCAAGGGGCCACCTGGACCTCATCACTCGTAAGTGGTCGGGTCTGAGAGTGGGCCGGGGGACAGCCAGCCCGCCCACACCCCTCCAAGCCTGCACCGTGGCGGCTCTGTCACGGAGTAAAACAGAACCAAGCCCATCCCAGAACCCCAGGAGGGTCCTGTGTGGGAGACCGCGCCCAGCAGGGGATAGACCAGCATGGGCTGGAGGGGTGTGTTCGGGGGCGGTGAGCGCAGATCCGGACCGTCCCTTGGGGTCCCTTTGGCAGCCCTCCCCCACCCCCAAGGGACCTACAGTATTTGGCAGTTTAGGCCACCATCAACGTCCTGTTTCGGACAGGTGGGAAGGCGGCAGGGGCCACAGTGACCTTTCTGCCCACCTCACCCTGGGAAGGACCCTAGTGGCTCTCCCTCCACCTCACCTCACTCCAGGAAGCCTCCAGCAGGGGAGGGAGCCAGGAGGGTGCAGGGGGACCCTGGGGCCCCCAATCAGGCAGCCCAAGACCCCAACTCTGCAGTCACAGGAGCTCTGGGTGCCCAGACCCCCCTCAAGGTGAATTTCAGCTGACAGGAGATGCCTGGGTCCCAGGTGGAAAGGGGCCGGGGTCTGGGGAGAGCATCCCCCAGCATGGCCCAGGGCAAGAGGCTCGCAGCTCCTGCACCCACGTGGAGCGGAGACCCTGGGGAGGAAAGACCTTCCGGGCTGGGGAGAGAGCGGCGGCCAAGCGGGGTCCTGGGAACCGGCTCAGGGGTGCACGCAGAGGGTCCCCACGCATCCCATCCCTCCGAAGGAGCCCTCCTGGCTGACGACAGGAATGTGCAAGAAGGTGCCCCTGGGACCAGAGGGCGTGGCAGGGGGCGTGGCATGGCGGTGAGGGCGTGGCATGGCGGGGGCGTGGCATGGCGGTGAGGGCGTGGCATGGCAGGGGGTGTGGCGTAACAGGGGGCGAGGCATGGCAGGTGGGGGCGAGGCGTGGTGAAGGCGTGGTGTGTTGGGGCACGGCTACCATGGGGCGTGGCGTGGCGGTGGGGCGTGGTGGGGCGTGGCGTGGTAGGGGGCGTGGCGTGGTGGTGGGGCGTGGCGTGGCGGTGGGGGTGTGGCGTGGCGGTGGGGGCGTGGCGGCCTCCGAGCCCGCTAAGTAGAGAGATGGGAGCGGGGCCGGGCTCCTGGCATCGCCACCTCAGTGTTTGTACCCACCGAGCAAATATACACTAAATGAGGCTCAAAGAGGCACAGCCAAAGGAACGGCCGATTCTGTCCTTTCTTCTTAATCCCTTTGGCTTAGGGTTTCCCGGCCTGGACAGCCTGTGGCGAGGGGAAGGCTGCCCAAGGGCACCCGGGCATCCGTCCGCGGACGTTCAGGCAGTGACCAATCCCCGGCCGTCCTGGCGTGCGCCCTGCATCGTGGGCCATTTCCCAGCCGGCCGGTGGGGGAGAAGACACTGTGTGTCCCCGGGTCTTGGTGAGATGGTCAAGGATGGACCTGTGATGGAGACCAGCGTGCGGCCATGTCCACGCGTGAAGGAGGCGCTTGGGTTGGGACGGAGGACATCTTTGCCGTCCCCTCAGCCAAACCATGAAAAGCAACCCTCTCCCCCCAGCCCCCAGCACCAACCTGGAGACCACCTTGGGCTGGAGCCCAGCACGGCCACCGCGTCTTGGCTGTCCAGCTTGGGACAGGTCAGTTCCCAGGTGTCCAGGCTGGAGCTAGTCCTTGAGGAGCCTCAGGGTCCAGCCCGGCACAGGAGGGCCAGGTGAGGGCCTCTGGGCTCTAAGGATGTGACCACGGGGTGCTGGGGTGCCTGCTCTGGAGGGGGTGATGCCTCCCCTTGGCCACAGCTCCCTGAAGGAGAGTCTGAGTCCCACCTGGAGGCAGCCGCCCCTCTGTCAGCCCCCAGCCGGGACCTTGGCACCCGTGTCCAGCCGTGGCCCCTGGGGGAGCTCAGCCCCACCCCGAATCAGAAAGTGTCTCCAGCCCCACACGGTGTCCGCCTGTTCCCTCCCACCCTGGCTTCCAGGAGGCAGGGAGTGCAGCTGGCCCTGCAGAGGCTCCCTGGTCCCAGGTCCGCTCCACCCTCTCGCACCCTGCTCCCACTGGACAAGTAGGCCACCGCCACGGGCCTTGCGTGGAGTCTAATCGGCTTCAGGGAGAAGCAGACGTCATCAGAGAAAGGCCCCTGTGCCCCTCACCCTATTTCCTGAGCCCCCAACCCCACTGGGCTGGGAGCTCTGATTTAAGCAAATCATTGGTGCCAGCTGAACAAAGGCACCAGGGGTCCGGGCCCCACCCTGCACCTTCGTCCTGCCCCCCCCACCCCCGGACTTGGGCCTTGAACACCACGGTGCTGTGCGTTTTGTGGGGTTTCTTCAGACACCATCCAGCCCCAGCTCCATGGAGACAGGCCGTCCCCTCAGGTGAGAGAACAGAGGCCCGGAGGGAAGGGGCCCGTGGCCTGGTGCGGCGGGGTCCACAGGGGGCCGCAGGGCTTGGGCCCCACTGGCCCTGAGGGGGGTCCTGGGAAAGGGGCAAGGGCGAGGAGGCAGCTCTGGGTCTCTAGAAGTCTCCTCAGTGTCTCTTCTGATTGAGTGACTTGACACCACTTGGCCCCTGGGACAAGGCCCCCTTCATCCAGACCCCGGACCCCAGCACCCTGCCCTCAGTCTGGGAGGGAACGCGGGGCAGCTCTGAAGACCACTGTCTGTCTATAACCCTTCCTTCCCCGCCCCAACCCCCACATTGCCCAGAGATGCCCCAGCCTCCGACAGGGCTGCCACGAGGGCAGAATGTGGCCAGGGACTCCCAGCCCGTCGTATGTCCCCTGCCTCCACTGACAACCTCCGAGATACACATGTCTATTCCAGGTTTGTGTCCGCCACTGGAGGGGACCCCCTGCTGCTCATGTGGATGGCGGGTGGGGTGGGGGGCGCCGAGGGCCCCCACAGCCACGCACGGCCACACAATGGCTCCCATCCTGCTTCCTCAGCAAGAAGGAAGATGCTGCTCTTCGGATGGACGGACACTGCCCACCCTGTGCCCACCCTCTCCTCTCCCCCAGAGTGGGCATCAGGACACCCTTCCCTCCGGCCCCGGGGCTCCACTCCCTGCCCCCCAGTCCTCTGCCTCTTCCAGGCTCGTGTTTGTCCCCTTCCCCAAGCCCCAAGCTGTCTCTCTCCCCCAAATCTTTCCTCTTCTCCTCCCCTTGTCCCCACTGAACGCTCTCTGCCCTTCCCAGGCTCTCTCTCACGCATGGTTCAGTTTCTGCTCCAGCCTCCTGGCAACCTCCTCTCCCCAGAGGTGCTCTGGGCCACCCTGAAACCCCCACCCACTTCCTGCTCTGCTTCTCCCAGAGCAGCAGGAGGGCAGCAGGCAAGAAAGATGCAGTGAGACTCTGGGTCGTGATGGTGGTGGCCTGGGGGCCCTGGGGGTCGAGGTGGCTGACGGACGCCGGCAGGTGGGGATGGGTGTCTGGGGGCCAGGGGATCTCTCTGCGGAACCTCTGGATGGAGAACCTCAGCCAGGGGCGGCTGGAGCCTGTCCTGGGATGGGGGTGGGTCTCACCTGGCGGGGCCGTGTCTGGCCTGGGCCAGTGAGTGGTCACCGCACTGGGGCCTGAGCACCTCCATCTAAGGGGCAGCTGAGCCCCGGCGGCTGCCGTGACTGTGAGTTTGGCTGAGACCGCCTTGTTCCAGCGCCGGGTAAGGGTGTGCTGCCGCTCACCTTGCCACATGACCCGCTGAAGTGCTCATGAGCCTCTGAACCTCAGTGGGACTGGACTTGGGGTCCCTGGGCAAGGTGAGGGCACAGAGGATCCAGAAACAACCCGGTCCTCCAGCCAGCAGAGCCAAGGCCTTACTCGAACAGGGCTTCCCATCCCAAGAGACGTGCTGGCCCGTCGTCTGGATCCTGTTCCCAGGGGCCATGGCTGCCTGCAGGGTTCCAGGCAGGTCCAGGGTGCCCTCCTCCCGGGGCTCGCCCGCCTGTCTCTGTAGCTGGGCCGGCAGGTGGAGGGGGAGCGGCGGGGAAGAGGGTTCCCTGGCCACTTTGCTCCCCTTAGGAGTTGGGAAGGGCCTTGGGGTGGACAGGAAGGGTGAGGAGAGATGAAAGGCCCCAGAGGAGTGTGGCGGGAGGGTCCCCGGGGAAGGTGGCCGGGCCATTCGCTGCGTGCGGGGTTTGCAGCGAGCGCGGAGCTCTGAGCCCACAAGCCAGGCCCTGAGGGGACAGGAAGAGGCAGCTGCCTGCCCCGGGCACTGCGGCCCCGTCTTCCCTTTCCAGGGCTCCGGGGCCACCAGCCCTGCCGGCTCTGTGCCCGGGGTGGGCATGCCTGGTCACTCCGGGCAGGGCTGTCCGCGTCACCAGGGAGAGGGTTAAACGTCCACCGTGCGTCAGACATCCCGGGCGGGTCTCTCACTCAGGCCTCCTCCGAGACCCTGCTCCGAGCACCTTTCCCCTGGGAGCCGAGGGAGGAGGAAGGAAGCGGATGGAGCCAGAGGCCCTGCCGGCCCCGAGGGCACCTTCCCACGTGCCCCCCTCCTGCCCCCAGTTCTCACGGGGCCCCCTCCTGACGGAGGAAGGCTTGACCTCAGGGTTAACTGGCGCCTGGAAGACGGGGGCTGCAGGGCAGGGCTCGGCCCCAGGCGGGCTGGGGGCACTGGGGGGGCTCGCAGAGCAGCCCAGAAGCAAATCCCCAGGGTCTTCCTGCAGGAGGAGGCCTGGCAGGCATGGGAAGGACCCGAGCATGCCCCGGTGGTCACTCTCGGTGGGTCACCGCCGGTGAGAGTGGGCAGCACTTGGGCAGGAAGTAGAGAAGGGCCGAGAGCCACAGGGCGGGTGTAGGGGGCGTCCGTCAGGGACCCCGAGGGAGAAAGAGGGGAGGGCTGGACCACAGGTGGGCGGGCTCGTCTGGAGATGAGGTGAGGGCAGCCCGCTGGACCTCGGGGAGACCTCTTCTGTGCGCGGGACTTGTCTGGGGCCACGGGGAGGTCACGTGAGAGAAGGGGGTCTCGGGTCAAGCCCGATAATTCCATTCCCTGAGGAACAGGCCATGAGGGCCAGGAGGGATGGCCCGAGAGGGACCCCGGCTGTAGAGGGTGGCTGGGGCTCTGGGGTGGCGGGCTGGGCAGGGTGGGGGCCGCTCTGTCTCGCCAGGAGGGGTACGCGGGGCTTGGTGAGGCTGGAAGGAGGCTCCTGGGGGACGGTGTACCTGGGGCCGCCCCTCACCCTCGGGGCCGTGGGAAGGGAGTGGGCCCGGAAGGCGCAGGGCCGCGTCTGGAGTGGGAGCAGGCCCGCAGGCCAAGGACGCGGGCCTGGCCGACACTGAAGACATTCAGGATGTGGGGAGCCCACCCGGACTCGGGCCCCGGAGAACCTGGCTGGCCTGCGGGCGATGAGGAGGCCCCTCTGCTCAGAGCCCTGGAGCTCAGGTGGGGCTGGGCGAGCGGAGCCGGCAACCCCCAGCCCACGCCAGCCGGCTGCCCCACCCCCACCTCCAGCCCGCCGCCCGCCCCGGGCCTTCTGGATCCCATCAGGTGTCACAGCCGTCCGGCTGGGACATAATGAGGCAGGCCGGGGTCAGTGGGTGACCTCTAGTGGACCCGACGTTCGGAAAGCCCTAGATCGAAACGACCCAACCCACGAGTTTGAGACTAGGTTTCCCAAGTAGGCCCTTCAGCCTCCAGAAGACACAGTTGGACAGGAACGCTTGCCGCAGCGGGGACCCCAGGACCCCCAGGGCACAGCGCGGCCTCCAGCCCCTGGTTCCCTCAGCACGCCTCTCCTGGGGCCGGGGGTGGGGGTGGGGTACAGGACAGCTGGCTGCCTGCAGCCCCGCAAACGTGAGCGCGGCCGCCTGGGGCTGGCGCCCCGGACAAAGAACAATGCGCGATGCTAAAGCCCTGTGACCTCAGGCCACCCCGGGCACCCACCCCAAGTCCAGGGACCGGCAGCTGGCAGGGTTTGGGGGGCTGGAGGGGTTCTGGTGGGAGCCGAGCCCCAGCGAGGGGGCCGTGTGGCCGGAATCCATAACTCAAGTTCAGGGAGGGGGAGGGTTTGGCCACAGCGTGGAGCGAGACTTGACGGATGGCGGGTCCCTCCCACCCCCAGGTTCAAAGTCGTTTTTGTGCAGACTCAACATCCTTCTTGTCCTCCCCTCCAGGTGTTATTTGGGGGAAAAAAAAAAAAACTTTTCAAACTACATGCTGAAAACTTCAGCATGAAAATTTAATGTCAGAAACACCATAATCTCTTTCCCAGAGATAAGACGCAGCCGTGCGAGGAGGGCTGAACCCGGGCCCTTAACCCGGAACGCCGATGCGGGCCGGAAGGCAGGGGCTGGGGGCCCGAGCTGGGGCTGGGGAGGGGGCTGAGACTGGGGCCCTCGGGGGGCCAGGCATCCACACGTGCAGTGGGAAACGCGCGTGGCTGCCGGCTGCCCTGCTGGACGCGCCTGCGGCCATGCAGGCTCGGACGTCCCGTGATGCCTCGGCCCCTGCGTCAGACCCCGATTTAGCTCTCGCCCGGGGTTCAGGTTGCCGACAGCTGGGCCGGGAAGGGCAGTGCAGCCGTCACCGCACACGACCTTTCCGAGCAGGGCCTGGCTCCCTCCTGGCCGACAGCGCCGCCCGTGGGGGGCATGATGCATGCATAGTTGAGAGACACCGTCTCCTACCCGAGCCCTGGCGCTGGGTCCACCCAGGCCGTCAGCCCTCCGGGGGCCCAGCCTGGGTGCGGTGGATGCGGGAGCTCTGGGCTGCCCTGGTCGGCCCAGGTGTCAGCCTGCTGGGGGGGATGGAAGATGCCCCAGGCTGCCCAGGCCGTTGGCACGCTCCCCGCTTTGCAGACAGAACCCCTCTAGGTGGTCCCCGGCAGTCCCTGCCCTGGACCAAAGTCTCCTCTTCAGCCCTTGGCCAATTGATGCCCAGGTCACTGCTCGGGCCAGGCCGGCACCCCAGAAAGGCGGGTGGGTGCTTCTTGGGCATGTGGGTGCCAAGCCCCGGGCCGCATTCCTGGGAAGAGGGGGCGGTAGGAAGGGGCCTCTCTTGGGGGGCAAGGCTCCCAGGCTGAACGCTGGCCCTGACCGCGCTCAGGGTGTGACACGACTGCCTCTTCAGGCAGCCGCCCTGGGACTCCATCCTGGTGACCCCTCCTTACCCGTGCCCCCTACTCCAGTCCCACTCGGGTGGCCCAGGACCCTGACAGGCTGAGCAGCAGGGGGACCTGCGGTGAGGGTCACTGGGTCTCTACTTTAATGGAAGGAGAGGCAGATGTGCTGGGAGGGGGCTTGTCCGTGAGCCACGGGCCCGAAAGCCCCCGGAATCTGAGTTTGAAGCAAACCAGGCCCCTTTCTTGACAAAGAGACCAGCCCAGCACTCTGGGGTGCCCTGAACCTGGGGGGCCTGATCACCTGGTTCCAGCCCCTCAGCCCTGGTGCCCTGGCCCCCAAGTGGCTCCAGGCTCCGGGCCAGGCGGGGCAGGGCTGGGATGGGGTGCACACATCCCAGGACAGGGCTGGAGCGAGGCCAGCCTGCAAGCTCCTTCTCCCAAACTTGGCAGTGTCTCTCCGAGCGTCCCACCCCTCGAGGGGGCGACCAGGAGTCAGGGGGCCACTCTGTTTGGGGCTGTTTGCAGCCCCTCCCGGAGTCGCCACGGCAACGACACGGGTGCGGCCGGGGAGCCATACCTCAGAGGTGACTAAGTGTGTGTGCTCCTCCCGTTATAGCGCCCGGCGCCCACCCCCCCACCTCGGGATACACACACCTCGGGCCCCGGCCCCCTGCAAGAATGTTCCATGAGCCCCGTGGGCAAGCATGTGGCCCGCATGCCAGGCCCAGCACGCCCAGCCGGCGCCTGGCCCCTCCCGCCCCGGGGTCACCGCGCGGCCTGCAGCCTCTTCCGTGCTGCTCTGGGTCCCAGCTTCCTGCTGTAAGGGCCTCCTGGTTCCCTGCCCCTCTGTCCCGGCACACGGACCCTGGGCGACACTTGCCTCCCTCCTGCCCCCACGCCCCGCGGTCCCCTGCGGCCTTGAACCCGAGCCTGCCCGAGTCAGTGCCAGGGGCTTTGCCCGGGACGGGGCCCACCACTCCGGCCCACACGGGGTCTCTGGGTGGGGAGGAGAGGCCGGGAGGACGTCGGCCGGCCCTGGGAATGGAGGCCAGGCCTGCCACCAGGGCTTTGGGATGGCCAGTGTGGTCACTTTCTGCTCCCCTCCTGGGAGCCTCTCCGGGGGGCCTTCCAGCAGACTGGCAAAGCCTGCGTTCAGGGGAGCTGGGACCCGTTCCGGCCGGGGTCATCTTGACTGATGTGGACAGCTGTGACCCACCTCCCAAAGCTATTTGAATTTCAGCAGGAGCTGGGAGGGCTGGCACGCGGGCCCAGCATCCCAGCGGCAACTCGATATTTTCAGATAAAGGGCGTCGCTCACCACTCTGCTCA